CTCTCGGGGCAGTGAGTCTGGTACGTCGAATCTGCGCTGTGTGAGGACTACATGCTCCCACGCTGCCACTGCTTCTCTCCCGGAGTGCTCCCTGCACACCATTTCTCCTCCCAGCCACCTCTCCTGCTACATTTGGACGGTGGGGTTAGGAGAACTGCCTTACCTTAATTTTGTAGTCATCTCCTCCAGACACGAACAATGGCTGCTGTTTATGGAAATCAATACCTCTGACAGGACCTAAAGCACACAAGATTGTGGTCAGTCACCCTCCAGCAGGATGGATTTTTTCCAGTGCTTTATTTTTCTGTAGGAAAGTACTTATTTCTTAAGTTCTCTAGTAACAGCGAATGCATGCCAACTGCAAATACCAAACGAAGCAAAGCTGCCCGTTCCAAAGTTGTAATTGATGCTTTCAGCTGATTGTTCTTGGTGTATCAGGGAAAAAACGCACGTAAAAGAAAGACATAGATATTTCCATGTTAAAATAAATACGCCATGATGGAAAAGTGGAACGTGCCCAACAGCGTCAATGGAAGGGAGCAGAACGCGGCTGGGGCAGGCGAGCAGCTACCAGCACGTCATGCGAGGTTCTTCCAATTACCAAAGGTTCTTAGTGGGTCAACAGTTTGCAGTTTTCCCTTTAAATTTAGACAATGAGGGCAGAATGTATTATTTGGTTTTAATTTTTGACAAGTATTCTAATAAACATTTCTACAATACAATAAAGCATGAAAATACATTCTATGTGCTTTAATTATTCCCTCAAATATTTCAAATCAAACCTTGTGTGCACTGGGACAAAACATTAACACAGGGCACTGCTGCTTCCTCTCTGTGTCCGGGGCAATGCTGCCCCCCACAGTATCTTCCAACGCGGGTCAGGATTACCAAGTTCTCCTTTTCAACACTGTCCACTACTGGCAAACAAGAATAATTCTCTGATACTTGATGTCAAAAGGAAAAGTGCCATATGAGTTGTTGGACATTAATGAGTTGTTTGAAGCTAACAGACCGGAACTTACAGTACTGGAAATGGTCGGGACACGTCAACTAATTCAGAACAGGGTGGCACAGCTTTTGAGGAGGACTGGCCCCTAAGAATACATCAAACCAGTCCCCCCTCGGCTGCACTGCCTGCCTGCCTGTTGTAGTCCAGGCCCAATTCGAAGTGCTGACATTAACACACAAAGCGTTAAATGGCTCGGGACTAGGACATCTGAGGGAGCACCTCTCTCCATATATTCCTTCCTGATCTTCAATGGAGGTCCTTCTCCGGGAACCATCACACAACAATGCGAAGGGTGAAATGGCTAAGAGAAAGACCTTCTCTGTGCTTGCACCTCACTTTCGGAACACCCTCCCCACAGAGACACGCCTGACACCGTTGCCTCTGGCACCAGGTGAAGACATTTTTACTCCATCAGGTATTTTAGCAGCTAATAGTTCAACATTTTTTAAAATTTCTATAGCTATGTGCTGTGTTGTGATTTCCTTACCAATTGCCAGATTTTGTATTGCTTTAATGGATGTTATGCTTTTGTTGTTAGTTGCAAAGTCGTGCCAACCCATCGTGACCCCATGGACAACATTCCTCCAGGCCTTCCTGCCCTCCACCATCCCCTGGAGTCCACTCAAGCTCACGCTGACTGCCCCAGTGACTCCATCCTGCCACCTCATCCTCTGTTGTCCCCTTCTTCTTTTGCCCTCAATCGTTCCCAGCATTAGGCTCTTCTCCAGGGAGTCCTTCCTTCTCATTAGGTGGCCAAAGTATTTGAGTTTCATCTTCAGGATCTGGCCTTCTAAAGAGCAGTCGGGGTTGATCTCCTCTAGGACTGACCGGTTTGATCACCTTGCAGTCCAAGGGACTCGCAGGAGTCTCCTCCAGCACCACAACTCAAAGGCCTCAATCCTTTGGCACTCAGCCTTCCTTATGGTCCAGCTTTCACAGCCATACATCACAACTGGGAAAACCAGAGCCTTGACTATACGCACTTCTGTTGGCATGGTGTATGTCTCTGCTTTTTAGTATGCTGTCTAGATTTGCCACAGCTTTCCTCCCCAGGAGCAAGCGCCTTTTAATTGCTTGGCTGCAGTCCCCGTCTGCGGTGATCTTGGAGTCCAGGAAAATAAAATCTGTCACTACCTCCATTTCTTCCCCATCTATTTGCCAGGAAGTGATAGGACTGGATGCCATGATCTTAGTTTTCTTAATGTTGAGTTTCAAGTTTTTACCTGATGTTTTATTGTTCTTTCTACTATTCTATTGTAAGCTGCCCAGGGAACCCTTTGAGCTATGGGACAGCATATAAATACAATAAATAAATATTGGACCAGAAATACAGAAAACCAATATGCAAAATGCAATGCCGCTATTAAAAATGGCCAATTTGCTGCATTAGATTATGCTTTACCAAACTGTTAAAATTAACAGAAAGCAACTGAAATAGTTTTATGGTTTTTTTCCAACTAAATCTATAAAACTGAGATCATTCCTAAAACTGAATTAAGATCAATATTTATTGCATTACTCAAAAAGGAAAATGCTAAAGTTACTGTGAGTACAGAACAGTAAATTTAACAAGACATTTAAGGTTTTCTTAAGATAATACACAAGACTCATGAAGTTTGGAGTCAGAAGAGGGCATGAAAGCAGGAAAGCTTTATTCTGCACACTTATACTTGTGGAGCATTGCTGAGCTTTGAACCTGGTTGCTTTACTGACTTTGAGAAAACTTTTGGCAAACATGACAAATTTATGGAGTTACTGATAAATAAGGCCTTGATTCAAGATATATTTGTATGTGCTAGCAACACAAGGTTGCAGTGTCAGTTACAGACCAGATGCAGAGAGATAAAGAAATAGAAAAAGGAGTATGCCGAGGCTGTAGTCTCCCCACTGCTTTTTATTTTGTACTCCAGGAAGAAGCCCTTGCTCATTTAAATGATGGCATCATTTTAGTGGAGATATTACCACTAACATTTAATATGCCGATGATACAGTATTGCTAGCTGACAACTTAGATAGTCTTCAACATTTACTTGATAGTCAATGAAGTAACAAATATATTCTAAACATGAACGCTAAGGAAATAAATGAATGGCAATTAGTCCAGAAATATACTGAATATATTCAAAATGAAAATGTAGAATGGGTTAATATGGATTTCTTGCAATGTGGTTGAACAAGGACTAAGGATCAAAATAATATTGTAACACTGGAAGGACAAAGACCCACCTGTAATAGCACAATGGGCTGAAGACGTGATGAAAATTTTGAGTGGAATTTATTAATCATAATAGTCCACATGTAATTATCCTTAAAAATAGTAGCATCTTTTGCTGTCTGTAAAATATATTGGAGTGTATGGCATATATTCATTGTAACAGATTTATTCCAATTTCATCCAGCAGGATTGTTAACATTTTATGGATTAGAGGCAATACAGTATCATTATTTAAAATGGTCTTATCTAGAGAATGTTTAGCCATGCAGACATCCAACCTCAGATAGGACAGAAACAAAACAAAGAGAAAGACAACGGTCCAACATTTTTCAGTGGCTCTTCAACACACGTGTCCATTCTAAGCTGGTTCCACCTACCATCATGTTCATCAAACTTGTCGATGAGCGTACACATTCGATAGTCCCAGAGTTGGATTACTCCATTGTGCAGGCTTGTCAGGATCCAAGGCCGCTTAGGATGAAAGCTCAGTCCTAAAGAGCAGGAAGAAAGGCTTTTCAGACATAGAAACAGAGAAACAGAGCGAGTCAGAAGGGGCCTCCCGGCCCATCTAGTCTGACCTCCGGCACCAGCCAGCTCCGCTCGACAAACGTCTCTTTCTTGATATCTGTCATTATTGTTACAAACTGGTACATTTCATATGCAGCCTTTCTGCAAAGAGCACCAGCTGCTCCAACTGCTTAAATGGAGTTGCCTCATCTACCCTAATTCCACTCCTGGGTTACTCGAAGCCAGGAATGCCACCTATTAGCTACTCACATCCTCATGGAATTTTCTAATATTTTTCTAATATAAGTAGCCTCTCTTTTTCCATTTTTCCCTATTTTTCAGTGTCTACTGCTACATTATCTGCAATTTAAATTTTTCTTCTGTATGAAACAAATGCTTTCAAACTAAACATTATCCTGTCACTGAATGTCATACCTGTTTGGATAAATGGTTTTGGAATCCTGTGGCTTTGCAAATGAGAGTCCATGATTTTGACTGCACTGCTAATATCACAGGCGCACATAATAATAGCCCTGGAAGGGGCCTACAAGGCCACAGAAGCCCGGAGCCCGCTGCTCAATGCGGACTCCATACTCACTCACTTCAGGGTAAGCCCCAGTGATCTCAGTGAGACTCTTTATGGACCGTTATCTATCAACGTTACGGAGGAGGAGGCCTTTTAAGCTTGCCAGTATTACTCTCGATCCCACTTCATTTCAAAGGATCTACTCTAAGCACAGCCCAGTGTTTTGTCTGTTCGCCCCGAGATGGAGAAGCCCCTGCTGGGCCCCAGCAAAAGGCATCAACCCTACACACTTTTACTCGGAAGTAACACGCATTGAACTGAATACGTCTGACTTCGGAGTAGGCGCGGCCAGCGCTGCGCAGTCGCGCAAACTGCAAAAAAGTGGGCTCAGGCACACCTTTCACGCGGGCTGACTTGGTCTCGAACTTGGTGAGCATCCTTGCGCGCCCCTCGCCGAGGTCTCCTCGAGCCGTCGAGCTCCGCCGCCGCCTCCACGTCACCGCCGCCAGGCGCCACCTCAGCGCTTCCTCTTCCGGCCAGGAAAGCACAGCGAGGAGGCGGGCAGACCGGCAGGCGGCGGCCTCGCGGCGGAAGCGCTCCCCCTGCAGGTGGAGGAGAAACGTCCCCAGCCCGTCGGCGGTCACAATGGAGCGGGGACGGTGGCAAACCGGAAGGGGCCGCCGCCCTGGAACATGGAGCAGCGCGGCGGACGCCCGGCCAGAGCGCCGCGGCAGGGGGAGGAAGCGGAAGTTGCCGGCAAGATGGCGGCTCTGGAGGAGGAGGAGGAAGTTGCGGCTGTCGCCCCCAGCTGCAGTCGGAAGATGACGGGAGCCGCGCGCTGGCTGCTCCGGGGGTTTCTGCTGGGTGTCTTGGTGGCGGGTGAGGCTGGCTCGGAGGAGGCGCCGGAGACCTATCTGGGAATGCTGGGAGGATACGGGGGGGGGGGCGGCCGGGGAGCTTTGCGGCTCGCCGGCGGCTCGCCAAAGCCCACGCCTGAGCGGCGCCGATGGCGAGCCTCTGTAGCCCCTGGGACGCGGGTGCGGGCTGATGGTCCGCATTGGCTCCCCTGGCCAGTTGCGTCGAACAGCAAGCAGTGCCCGCGTCGCCGGGCAGCGTGTCCAGCGCAACTGGAGGGCGTCAGGCTGACCTGCGAGTTTGCGAAAGCTGAGTTGAGGCCGCAAGAGTGTTTTGGCGAGCTACGTGCGCCTTGTAGAATCGAGGACCGGAGGGCTAGGAGTACATGGGGCAGCCCTCAGGAACCGATCTCGTGGAGGATCTGGTTTAAATGAGGAACAGAAAAATAGAGGTTTGTGAAGGAGGAGGCAGAAACTCAACAGGTGTCTTTTTGGCCAGTGATTTCATAAATTGCCACAGTGATATTCATATCTCAACTACTCAAAACTCACAGTTTTCGTAATCACATTTAATTTGAGGTGAGTTTCAATTGGTTAACCTGTGCAAGGAGGTGGACAGGTGGGAAGCATCCCTTTGACTCTCTTGAACCTCTTTTGCAGCTCTTGCTGGGTGTGGCCATCCAGGGATTTGAGCTGTGATGACACTGGTGTGATGATGTTCACATTTTTTTCCTCATTCCCGTCAAGTATTACCATTATTTCAATTACATTTATACCCCATCTTTTTTCCCTCTTGCAAGGAACCCAGACAGTTTAACAAAGTAGTTCTCTCCATTTTATTCTCACGTTAGTAACCCTTTGAAATAGCTTAGTGAAAACCCAACTCTGCAAATCTGAGGTATCTAAGAATGGGTTAAGTAGTTCGACCTGGTTTGATGACTTAGAAGCATAGAAACAGGGCAAGTCAGAAGGGTCTTCCTGGGCCATCTAGTCTGACCCCCCAATTCCAGCTGGCTCTGCTCTTGACTTTTCCATCATGTTCATTTCCAGCCTATCTTTGAATACCCTCATCAATGGGGCCTCAACCACCTCTTGTGGAAGCCCATTCCATACTCTAGGGGTCCTAACTGTCAGGAAGTACTTGGCATCCAAATTGAACCTTGGTTCCCTCAGCTTTGCACTGCTCTTGAAAAAGTATATATGTAGCTTTGGGTGATTTTTGATTCCTGTTTTTTATTGGCTGTCAGGGTGGGGGGTATTTCTTACCAGCCTATGAAAACTAACTGGCCTTTCCCAGAGATGTTTTCCATGAATCAGCTATCTCTGAATTGAATTATCATAATACTTTCTATGGGGGTCTGGCTATGAAGACAGTCCCAAAAGTTCAGTTGGTGTAATAGAATCGTAGAATGGTAGAGTTGGAAGGGGTAAGAAAGCCATCAGGTCCAACTCTCTGCTATTGCAAGGCACTAATTTACACCAACCCATTCAGATGACTGTCCAGACACTTTATAAATGTCTCCAGCTTCTGTCTGGTACTTCCAGGTCAGAGTATGTAATTCTGTTTTTGTGTCAGCCCCAGTGGTTCCCTATTTACTGCCAGACTTGCTTCCTGTTGCTGATTCTAGCCTTTAAAAGTTCTAAATAGCTTAGGAATGGATTTCCTGAGGAACCACTTTCTCCCATGCCAGCCTGTTCAGGAATTAAGATTAATGTTAGAGAGCATATGTTTGATGCCTGCCTGGGAGAGTTAGCAAATGTGTACACAAAACAGGGCCTTCTCTGTGGTGGTACTGCACTCAGGAATGCCCTCCCAACTGAGATTGGTCAGACTGTCTCAGTGTTTTTCTTGCAGAAACTGAAGATACTGGATTTGGTTGTCCTTTACTGTGGAACACTTAGTTTTAGGGTTTGCTAGTGTCATAATGTGACATTGTTTAAGCTGGCTGATGTGTTTTTGTTTTGCTTTTAAGGGTTTGTTATATTGTGCATTCTTTGTTGCTTTTAGAAATGGCTTGTTGTGTTTGCACTTTCGACTTTATTGAACTGTTATCTACATACCACTCTGGTACCAATAGTAGAAGAGATCTTTTTCTTATCACAGATTGATGGAAACACTACAGCAGTCTTCCCCAGCCAGGTGTTCTTTAGATGTGTTGAGCCACAACTTCCATAATTCCTGACCATTGACAGTGCTGCCGGGGGTTGATGGGAGTTGTAGTCCAAAGCTTCTAGAGGGTGCCAGCTTGCATACCCCTGCTGTATAGCTCCAGCCGCCAGCAACCTGATACCTGTGAGAAGTACTGAATGATGGCCACACTCTTTCTGGGAGTTCTGGCTGTAGCACATTTCAGGTGGGGCAGGTTGCGGAAGGAGCAGGAAACTTTTCTAAATGGGGCATAAGAAAGGAAAGTAGCATGGTGTGTTGTGGGGGGGGGCGGGGTTGCTTAAGCAAGTAAAGAAAACAGATCGTGGCATTGCAACAGCCAGGCATTCATTCTTGCGATCGTTGAGCAGGGCAGGAACGCAATGGGAAGTTTTTCTGCCTAGGAAAACAGGGTGGGACTAAGAAAGTGGGTGGGCGAGCAACCGCCTTAGCTGGTAAGGGAAATGGTTCTGCCTCATGAGAAGCAAAAATGCTTTTCAGTGGCTGCGGGTGATTGTTAATAGCGGAGACTTTGGACTTCCGAGATGAGGGTGGGTGGTGTCCCAGTGTTTTGTCATCATGACAACTCTTGAAGCTGGCAGGTACTTAGCACTTGCTCTAAGGTCACCTAGCAAGTGGCACCGCTGAGTTGGCCTCTGAGCCAAGTCCTCCGTGGTCCAAGTCCACCATTCTGGCTGCTACCGCCTTGCGACTCTTGGGGTGGAGATTACTTTGTGCTTGGAGTGACAGAAAAAGAAACTGCTGTTTGAGGTTTTGCCTGTTTCAGGCAGCTGGTCAAGATAATGATGCAGTGACTGAGAACGGAGGTGGCGAACTTGAATGTCTTTTTCTTTGCTGGCCATCCCAGATTGAGAATCTGTGTGTGAAGGAGGGCAACGAGGGGAAATACTGGATCTGTGTGAAGGACAACTTGATTCTTAAAGTACAATTTTAGGAAGAAGGAAGATCCAGTTGGGAGATTTTCCTTGTATTGGTCCTCCTGATAAGTATTTGCAAGTAATGGGGGAGACATCCACAAGCGAAAGGAATTCAGCCTTGCTTCTTCAACCGGCGAGCTCCCCTGACAGGATGTGAGGTCATCCTAGTGAAGGGGCAGGGGGTGAGCGGAGCATCTGTGCATCGGGTGCGGCTTGCCACATGACGTGGACGAACACGGCATTTGAACTCATTGCGATATTAAATGCGGTTCGTTTTTCTTGCATGTGAAGTACACTTAATAGTGGAAGAAATCAGGGATCGAGGGCTTTCCTTGCTGCTTCACTTAGTGCTTGGGGCATGCTGAACAAACGTTAGACATGCGTCGATGGAATGAGTTGAAGGGGGAGAGTTTGCTAAGCAGGCCTCCCTGTTAGCCGCTTGTTCTGCCTCATGGCTGAGAGGAGGCGGAGCGCCCTGCTGCGTACGCTGTCCTCCTGGACCTTGTTTCTGCTTGACGGCAGTGCCGCTCCGCAAGCTGGGCCGCTCCGCAGCCACCCGTGGGGTTCATGGCTGGAGTGGGATTCGCATCCGTGTTTCTCCAGCACTGCGAGCATTGCCGGATGCCGGCTGGCTGTGAGGGGCTGGGACTTCTAAGGTCACGCCAGGCGTTTTTCAGTGAGCAGGCAGGAAAGAAAGGCGGGGGGTCTTTGAGTGGGAGCTGCACAGGGATTGCCACCCTTCGTTTAGGCCTGGTGCTCTCTGGGTGTGATGGACCATCGTTCTCGTCATGAGAGGTGCAGTCCAGTAGATCGGAGGGAGCCAAGCTGGGGAAGACTGGCCTAAAAGTCGCGGCTCGGACTGATGGGTTTTACCTAGAGGGGAATCTCGCGCTGCTTCCCCGGTCAAAGTAACTTCTCTCTCATGCGGCCGCTTTCTCTGCAGGCTCAGGCTGGTGCAACTCCGTAGAGAGAAAAATTTACATCCCGCTGAACAGGACAGCCTCGTGTGTCCGCCTCCTGAACGCCACCCATCAAATTGGCTGCCAGTGTGAGTCCACCAGGCGGAAGGAGTTGTTGTTTGGGAGCGGGGAGAGCCCGGCACGGTGTCCTTCGCGTTGCTTCTGCCGGGCCCGTGCGCCTGGCCGGCTGGGCCCTGTGCTGCAGGGGCCGTTCCTGCCAGCGCCACCCTTGTGCCCTCGCGGTGCACGGCGCTTCCTGGAGGACATGCTGGCCAGGCGTGCCTTCGAGGGGCCTGCAACCCGGACTCTGATGTGGGAGAAGCAGCAGCAAAGGGGCCGGCGGGGGTGTGACCAGGACCCCGCTGGCCCGCAGCCGTTTCGTCTGCGCGTGCTTCGGTGCAGCTGCAGCAGGGCCTGGGAGCTGGGGGCGGGCAGAATGCCACCACCAGACGGCAGGGGAGGGAATGGCCACCCAAGGGAAGCGCTGGTGTCTCTTCTCCTTGCAGCCTCCATGAACGGGGACACGGGAGTCATCCACGTCGTGGAGAAGCGCTCTGACCTGAGCTGGGTGCTGAAGGATGGGCCACACTCCCCTTACGTGGTGCTGCTGGACGGGAAGCTTTTCAACCGGTAATGTGTGGTTGCATCGCGCGTCGGCGGTGGATGCATCCCCTGCTGCTCCAGCCCAGGCGCCAAGCCACTGCCTTACTTTCGCCATCTCCCGGCGTCCTCCTCAAGCAGCTGCTGGCTTCCTGGGGAAACTGCCCAGGCCCAGTGCAAGCTTTGTTCGGCATGAAGAGGACCTTGGCTCTTCCTCTCCTCAGTCCCATTCTCCTGGATTGACCTCTTCCATCTGACAAATTCCGTCTTCTTCCTGATCCAACTCTCCCTTTATGCATTTTCCACTTGTCAGGTTCTCTGTGTGATATAAAATGATAGAACGACGCCCCAGTTAGATCTTTTATTTTATTTATTTATTTTTCGATTTATATCCTGCCTTTTTCCTACAAAGGGCTCAAGGCAGCTTACATCATTCTCCTCCTCCATCTTATCCCCACAACAACAACCCTGTGAGGTAGGTTGGGCTGAGAGTCTGTGACTGGCCCAAAGTCACCCAGTTGGCTCCATGGCCGAGCGGGGACTCGAACCCAGACTGTCTGAGACCCAGTCCCAGGCTCTTAACCACCACACCATCTTGCCTCAGTTAATAATATGAGTTTCAGAAGGCTTGAGCAAATGGGATTAAGGTTGTCTCCTCCTCGCAGTGTTACAGAGAATCATTTGTCTGCCGTATTAAAAGCCGTTGCACCTACCTGCTTGGCGTGGAGCTGGTGCTCATGGGAGCATCCCGTGGAGCAGCAGCAAAGGGCCTTGGCGTGGAGCTCGGTCACAGCAGGCCCATCAAGAGGGAGCGAGGAGGAGGGCAGGCTGAGCGCTCGCTTGCGCCTGCGTGGGGGAAGGGGTGGACTCGCGCTGTGCCACGGGGATGGGGAACACGTGGCCCTCCGGGAGCTGCTGGACCCGGCTCGCCTCAGCCTTCGCCAGCGTAGCGAGCAGTGAAGGGCGATGGCAGCAGCCACTGAATAACGTCTGGAGGGCTGCACCTTCCCCGTTCCTGCAATGCCATTAATCACAGAAAGATGAAACGGGGGGTCAGGGGAGATTTTGGCACTTGCGTGCGCCCTTGAGTGCCTTTGGGCAAGGCGATAGGCGGGCGAATGGAGCGTTGCTCTGCGGTTGCTGCTCCGCGCACACAGAGGCGCCATAGAGGGAGCGTGGCCTGTGCGCTCGTGCTTCGTGCCCCGCTGCCGTGGAAAGCGTTGTTCTGGGGCGGAGGGCTCCGGTGTCTTCCCGCACGCAGCCTTTGAGTGCTGCAGGTGGTCCGTCGCCGAAGTGTGTCTGGCGTTCACCCTTTTTGCGGTTCTCTCTCGGCAGGGATCTGCTGCAGGAGCTGAAGGGCAGTCCTCGGATCTCCGGGCTGGCCGTGGCCCTCGCCAGCCCCAGCCCCGCCGAGGGGTTTTCTCCTGGCTTGAAGTGCCCCAACGATGGCTTTGGTGAGGAAGGAGGGCGGCTTCCTCGAGGACTGCATGGTCGGAGGGGGGACTTGTTCGGGCTGCCACTCAGCTGGGCTTCTGAATGGCTTGCATGGGTTCAATCCTGCTTGAGCGGGGGGGGAGGGGCGTGAGGGGAGGCAGCGAGCTGCCGCAGATTTGGGCTCTTCTCTCTAAAGGAGGCCTTCATGCACTGTGCTTGTGTGGTACCTTCTTCTGGCCACTGCTGCCAGTGCCCTGCAAGCTTGTCGGTGTTCTCGTGCTGCAGATGTTGGGTCGAGAGGGAGCAGCTCGTTTAAAGCCAGACGAGCTGAGATTGGAATTGCTTTTGCCTGCCCTGCCGCTTTGGCGCCTGTGCAGGCACGCACCTTTCTGCTTGGCCTGCCCTCCCCCCCTCCCTCCCCCCCCAGTTGTCCTCCTGCCCCGTTCTTAAGCCGCCTGCTCTCTGGTCCCCTGCTGCTGCGGGGGGTGGGGGGGCGGCTCCATCCGGGCTCGTTCCCACACTGTGACTCGCTCTGGGGTTGCCGGCATCCACCCGAGGCCATTATGGGAGTTGGGCAGCTCGGTGCGAGGGCCGCCAGCCACTGCTGGGACACACCTGCGCACGTGACTGCGCAGCCACTCCTGACCCTGCCAGCCGTGCTCACCTGTGCCTCCTCGCCGCCTCTTCAGGCATCTATAACAGCAGCTACGGCCCCGAGTACACTCACTGCAAGGCAACCACCTGGAACCCCCTCGGCAGCAGCCTTTCCTATGAGGACTTTGGCTTCCCCATCTTCCTCCTTCAAGATGAGAATGAAACAGAGGTCATCAAGCAGGTACCGTGGCTGGATTATTTCTTTCTGTAGCTTGGGAAGTGACAGCCAAGGGCGGTTAAAAGCACATTCGAGTAAGTCAGAAAACACTGAGATCGGTAGAACAGTAATTTCCGCAAATGGATTCAAGAGCGTCACACCCGTCTCGCAGCGGTGTTGGCATCGAGCTGGCTTGTACCTCAGAAGCGGCAGCCACTAGGGGTCTGTGGCCCGCTTGATGCCGTGCGTGTCCAGTGCCTGCCTGAGCAACGGAGTGGCGCGTCTCCCTGGGGAAGATGCCGCCCCACTGCGGCGCTGTCGGGGAAAAGTCCCGTTTCAGCCACCCGGAGTCCAGCGGCAGAGGGCACAGGGAAGGGCCTGGCTGGGTACCGGAGCACCAACCACAAGCCTCGGGCCCCAGACCGAGCCCTTTGGAGAATGGCCACTTCAGCTTGGGTGCCAAACACGAGTTGAAATTTGGAGATCGGAACTTCCATGCCTCCCGATGACCATCTTCAGAAATCAAAAAATGGATATACTGGGGTTGTATTTCCTCCTTAGCTTATTTAGCCACCTCTGAGGAATGTTGCAACTTCCAAATTTCAGGGAACAGTGGTGCAGTGGTTTCCTGTTGTGCACCTTGATAGCTTTTTAAAAAATGGAACTGCCAATAACTTTTTTAATTTATTGGCATAATGGGACGACTGCCGCAGGAATGGTCGCTTCTTCTGAGGGACTGGCGCCTGCCAGTTTTCAGATGACTCTGTGCAGGGGCCGTTGTGTAAGAGCAGCCTGGGATATCCTAAAAGGACCCACTGCTCCCCATTTTCCTAAGGCCATCCTTTTGAAAACACCAGATGGCCCAGAAGGATCTGTAAGTAATTAACCTGCAGTGTTTGAGGAGGACGGGTGCCCCAGTTCATGTGGAAGGCATTTGTGATGGTTTGCCCAAGGGAGGGCGTTATCCTTGCTCGGAAAGGTTCCCTTTCTCAGTGCCGGGCAAGGATAAGGACCGATCTCGAGCCTGCCGCTGGCCAGGCATAGGAGGTTTTGCCCCAGGAGACAGGCAGGGCCTGGGAAAGAGACCTGTGGGCTGGTCGGGAATCCTCGCAGGGTGCACCCAGCCAGTAGGCTTGCTGGTTCCTGTGCTGGCCCTTAGGCTCCTGGGAGAGGACGTGGCTGCCTAGCCGGAGCCCTGAAGGAAAGCTCCTGTTGGGTGAGATCGTACTGCAACATTTGCTTGCTGCAGCAGACGTAGCCCCCTTGGTGTTTGAAGAAGGCCATCATATATCTGAGGAGGGATTGAGGGAACTGGGCATGTGTAGCCTTGTAAAGAAAGGCAAGACAGCACTCTTCAAGTCCTCGGAAGGCTTGAAAAAGAGGAAGGACAGGATCTCTTCTTGATCATCCCAGAGTGCAGGACACAGAATAATGGGCTCAAGGACAGGAAGCCAGGCCCCAGCTTCACAGTAGGATGAAATTCCTGGCTTTCAGAGCTGTACGACGATGGGGCTGATGTCCTGGGGAGACTGTGGGCTCCCACACTGGTGGCATGCAAGATGCAGCTGGACAGCCCCCTGAGAGGGATGGTTTGATCCGGAGCCCCGCAGCAAGCAGGGCTTGGACCTGGTGGCCCTCTGGCCGCTTCCCGCTCTCCTCGCTTGTGATTCTGTGTCCATGCATTCCTTCACCATGATGCAATCTTCTGGAAATGTCCTGCTCCCTGAATGGATGCATTCAGTCCTTTGTGTTTGACTCTCATAACCCAGCTAAAAATGTCTTGTGTTGCTGTTGTGATTGCGTGGCATTTGTATCCCACGCGTTCTGTTCTTGTGAGAACCCTCGCAGCCTCAGCCCTCTCAGGTGGGTTAAGCGGAGGGCTGACGGCTCAGTCCAGCACCACCAGAGAGCTGCAGGCATGAGTGGCGCCTGGAGCCCAGACCTCCCAGCTCCGCAGCCTGGCGCTCCACCCACTCCGCTGGCTCTCCTGAGACATTGGGTGTGCTGCCTGGCTTGGCTAGCCAGAGGTAATTGGATGGGGAGGCCTGATGAGGGAATTGGGAACACCAGGCACGTGCGCTTCCTGCTGTTTTCCTGTTGCATTCCAACAAATTCTGATTTATGCGTGGAAGTTATTTTTAATTGGAATATCGCTATGGTAGCTCAGTCTCATAAGCTTACTTTGCATTGCTGAGACTTAAGAAACAAAATGCAAGAACGAGAAATGGTTATGTTAATTGTAGCATGCTTGTGTGCATAATTAATTGAAGATAGCTACCTGAAGAAAGTGAGGCATGCCTTCGGTTTTCGTTCGGCGGGCCGCGGGCCTGCTCCAGCTGCCTGGCTGGGCTGCACGGAGCACTGCAGCGTGCTGCTCTCACAGCAGAGGCCTTGGCGTGTTCCCTCCTAGTGCTACCACACCTACAACGCCCCCCGGAACGGCTCCACGCCCCAGTACCCGCTGTGCGCCATGCAGCTGTCCTCCCACATGCACGCCGTGACCAGCACCGTCACCTGCATGCGGCGCAATGCCATCCAGAGCACCGTCAGCCTCAACCCAGGTGAGAGCCGGGCAGGTGCGTGGCGTCGTCTGCCTTTTCCGGGTCCCCTGTGACTGCAACCTGTTTCCGTTGATCGCTGTTGATTAGATGGTTCCCTGCCTTCCTCTCATTATTTTCCCATTCCAAAAGGTTTATCGCTTATATTTATATCCCACTTTCTTCCCGGTGGAACTCAAGGTTGCGACATGGCGGTTCCCAGAGGGTCTCCCCTCCAAGCTCAGGCCAGCCCCAGGCCTGCTTAGCTTCAACCTCGGCGGTGCCTGATGTGCCTTCAGTCCACCCCCTGGGCCCGGTCGGCCCGGTCGAGTTACTGGCCGTGAGGGGTTCACCGCCCATTGGGGTGTGCCTCTCGGAACGCAAGTTCAGCCCCTGGGGTGAAGAGGTCTGCCCCCCCCCCCACAGCAGCTCCCTCTCGTCCTGCACTCGCTGGCCTGCTTGCAGTGGCCGCACACAAGGCCGGGCAGAGGCTTGGCAGCGTTGCCTGCGGTGCCGCTCCTGCCAGTAGGCAGGGCAGAACCCGCCGCGTGCCTGTGGGTCCATCGGGCATCAAAGAAAGGCCGCGAGATGCCACTGATTCAAGAGAACCATAATGGGGGGGGGTGCTAGTTGTGACCCCCACAACCAATTAACCATTGCTGGGAGCAACAGCAGTCAGTGCGGACCTGTTTGATTCCCCACTTCTGTACCAGGAAGGGTTTTACTCTAGTAGGAATGTATTGGAAAAATACTCAGGAGCCCAAAGGCTGCAGCGGAGTTTGATCCAGTAGCTCTGGAGTGCTTGTCCCCGGGCGGGGTGCACTTGTTTGCCATCTCTGGGGTCGACCTCCTGCATTCCTTCAGTCCGGGGGCCTGGGGAGGACCTCTGGGGAGAAGGAAGGCCCATGGCTCAGTGGAAGAGCCCGCCTTTCTCTCTGTGGGGGAGGAGGCTGAAGTGGCCTCTGGCTCTGTCAGCTGAACTCTTCATAATTCGCTGTAGGCCAGCAAGGATTCCTGGCTCCCCGTTAAAGAACAGCTGCCATGAAAGGGCTCTCCTTGACCCTTGCCTGACGTCACCTTGCTGAAGTGGGAGCCCGGCATTGCCAAGAGCGGGGCTTCGTGCAGGGGGGCGGGAACACAACACTCCCCTCGTGTCGGCACTTGGGGCGGTTCCTGGCCTTGGTAGGCTCTCGTTGCACCAGCTTCTGACTGGTGGATCTCGGAGCGCTAGTGAAGAACCCAGCTGATTCCTGAGGCCTCGTGTCTGCCCAGCACTGCTCTCTGTGTTGAAGCTCCTGAGTCCTCCTGCCTTTAAAGGGATTGCAGGACGGAACCATGAGGCTTGGGCAGCCGCTGCCGTCCAGGGGAGTGTGAGGGCCCAGGGCCAGCTGCACACATCATCCCGGCACAGCAGCAGGAGGCTGTTTTGCATGTTGAAGGCCGGTCTCTGAGCACAAAAGGGCTCTGGGAAGGGGCGTCTTCCTGAGTGAGTCTGTTGTGCCAGGTGGACCAGCGGCGGCTGAGGCAGCTTCGGGCTGATCGCTGCCTCCTTTAGATCTGCTCGGTGAGACTGCAGCTCTGAGTCACTTTCGTCCCGGGCGATTTACAAATAGCACACGGTTACGTCAAAGCGAGCAGTGCAAAGGCATCACTTGCCGACGGGTTGCCTGCAGAAGGCAAGCAGTTGGGCTGGGCCTGTCGCTTGTCCCAGGCGGTTTGGGGCCCCTCGAGGTGACCGGGGCTGCTTCTCCCTTCCTGCAGAAGTCGTCTGCGACCCGCTTTCGGATTACAACGTGTGGAGCACGCTGAAGGCCTTCAATGAGTCTGCCACGCTGGACCCGGAGAGTGTCGTCGTCGCTGCCAGCCGGGTGGGGCACCATCGTCACTGCCAGCCTTGGCTGCTCGGGGCGTTGTGCCTCTGGGGGCCCGGGGGGGACGGCTGTTCTTGTTTCCACTGGCGCAGTGGCTAGGCTGGGCAGCCCCAGTCTGAGCCGCGCGCCTGCTTGCTCCCCCCGCTCCCCCCGAGCTCAGCTGGGCACACCAGCAGATGTCCGTGTGGCCGTGGCTGGAGCAGCAGGGCCGTCAGAACAGGGTCCAGAGCGGGTAAAATGGTGATTGCGCTTCATGTTGGATCTTGCCTGAGTGATGATGAGCAAATGAGGCTGTTTTGGTTTTAAAATTCAGGTCTAAAGCAGGGTACTGAATAAAAATAAGGTATGTTGGGGTAAGCCAGTTGTGATGCGCTGTTGAGCACAGCTGATTAAATGTAGGCTTCCGCATTAAAATGGACCAATGAGGTCGTGCAAAGCAGGCCAGTGGGCCTTTCCTCTTGAAAGAGCGGGCAGGTCCCTGTCGCCAGTTTCTGGGGTGCCGTACACTTACGAGTCAGCTTCTGGGGAGCCCCCTCCCGCGGTGGGTGGGCTCTGAGGCAGGCGTCAGCGCAGCAGGGCTGGGTCCCCAGGGAAGGAGGGTGTGGGTCCCTCAGGAACCCACAGCTTCAGCCGCAGATTGTGCCAGAAGCTACAATCAGCCCTTTGGGCCGTGCTCAGAAACCAAGCCATGGATCGTGCGCGGTGCGAGCGCTCTCTGGGCCTTCTCAACTCTTATTCCGGCAGATCGACAGCCACTCCTTTTTCTGGAACGTGGCCCCCGGAGCGGAGAGCGCCGTCGGGTCTTTCGTGGCCCTCCTGGCTGCAGCAGCTGCCATCCACAAGGTCCCTGGCACACACGCCTTGCCCAGGAACATCATGTTCACCTTCTTTCAGGGGGTGAGGCTGCGCCGTTGCATGAGGGGAAGGGGGGCCCCCGGGGGGACCAGCGGGCTCCCGGGGCAATTTCGTCGCGTAGCGCCGGGCATGAGCCTTCACTTGCGGAGCTCGCGGGGGTGGGGGCTGCTGCTGCTGCTGCTGCTGGTCTTTGCAGACAGGACCGAGCAAGGTAGAGCGGGACCTGCTCCACCCCAGGCTGCTCCCCACGTTTTGGGGCCGAGAGACTTGGCTCCTGGGCTAGGACTGAATAAGGATCGAGCCAGCTCTGCTCTTCCCAGCTGCGAAGCGCGTCTGATGCTGAGTTTACCCTTGGGGCAAGCCGTCTGTTCCCAGGGGAGCTGCATGAACAGATTGCACAAGGCAGCTGCGCAGTCACAGGCCCTCCAGGGAATTGCCCAGCGATTTGACTTTCCTGGGAAATTTTGAGCAGAATGCGGAAATGTTTCTAACCTTAATCTCTTAGTCAAACAAAAACACTGAATTAGATCCTAAGGCATAGGAAACAAACAGAAAAACGTGTCGTCTTAACTCTAAGTTCAGTATAAGTACCTTGAGTTTCTCCGATATGCAGAATTACCGGAGCTGTAACACTCAGCTGGGTGGGAGTGGGGAAAACCGGGAAGGTACCCTTAGGCCGCAGGGCCAGTCCCGTCTGCCTGGGAAGGACTCCTCCTGGCTGAGAGCAGGTGCAGTGCTGAGCACCAGGGCTGTGCTGTCAGTGACTGAGGGTGCAGTCCTGGGGGTTGCACCCCTCGCTGGACACAAGGCGGGCTCCAGCCTCGGGGCTCACTGGCACCCCGAGCCCTGCCAGGTTGCTTCCCGAGGGGCCGGAGCAGTGATGGGCCGTTCGGGCTGCTCTGCTCTGACCCTCGGCTGGAAGGGCCTAGGGTGGTCTCCGAAGGAGGGCCAGGGGAGAACTTGCAGCCTTTTCCTGGGGAGAGCAGCCCTGCACTTGAGGGGCATCCTGGCTGGGGCACCCCTCCCCGGTGGAGCTTTCCGGCCCCCCGTCAGTGGTGGGAGCAGCCTTTCCTCACCCTCAGCCCCTGGCTGGGACGCAGTTGGCCACGGTTTGCCAGTGCTCAGGATGACATGGGAGCAGCCCCGCGGACCGGGCTGTGCGGCGCGTCCCGCCTTCCCGAGGAGCAGCTTGCTGGCTGGCTGGCTGTCTCCAGGAAGTGCCCGAACGGCCCTCCTTCAGCCTGCAGAGGCGCACTGCTGCTGAGCATGAGGAGTCACATGGAGAGAATTAAAAATATATGCACACGGGGGCAAAATGCCATTAATGGCAGCTGCGCGAAGTCAAGAGGATATTTGGAGCGGGGCGCATGGAGGGGGGAGCTGATGGTTAGCAGCTGATGTTCCCCTCCAGGCATCACATGGAAAGGCCTCATTTGCTCAGCACTGTCAGCTCTGTGGTGTCTTCCAGAGCCCCGAGAGTCGTCCGCGGGATCTCCCCGCACCGCGAGCGTGGGGGAGTCGGCCGTTGTCCCTCCCTCGGAGGGCTGCAGCAGTTGCCGTTTCGTGATCGTGGTTTGAAGCTGGTAGTCGAAGTGTGTGGTGCTTTAGGGTGTTAAACGTACTTCAGGTAGTTTTTGCACCATTCCTCAAAAGGGCCAGGCGTGGATGGAGGAGAGGAGAATGGCGGCTTGCCTCAGGTGAGCTGGGAGAGACAGGTCTGCCAGAGAGAGGCAGAGCTGGGAACCGAAAGGGTCTGGTCCGGGCCCCACCTCTGCCGCAGGCGCAGTGCTGTCCTCCAGCCCCTCCACCTGCAGGGACGCTGACCTGCCTCGCAGCATTCCCAGCACACGAACAGCGACGCACACGAGGCTTTAAAGAGTTGTGCACTGTAAAAAGCCCGCATGGTCGTAGGGTTCGTAGTTGAGGCTGGATTGCTGAAAATGAAAACATTTCTGAATTTGCCTTCCCCTTTCCAGGAGACTTTTGACTACATCGGCAGCTCTCGCATGGTGTACGACATGCAGAACGGCAAGTTTCCAATCAAGCTGGACAACATCCACTCCTTTCTGGAGCTGGGTCAGGTGCGGGCTCAGGTCTCACGCTCCCCTCCACCACTCCTCGGCTGAACGCCTGCCGTCCGCCGGCTCCTGTGGGCTCAGGCCGGCTCCTGGCTCCACTTTTCCGTGCTTGGGAACCATAGAAGGACCGCGGGAAGACGTCAGGCGTCGCACTGTGAGAGGGCCCGGCAGGAGGAGCCCGGCAGGCGCTCCTGTCTGACTCTCCTTGTGCACGACAGAGACAAGGCAGCCGTTCTTTGCAGAAATATTGCAGTTAATGTTTTGGAATTGCAAGCCAGCCATGGCTGCGAAAGGTGTCAGAGATCGCAAAAGCGTCTTGATCTGCAGTGAGGCCGCTCGGTTCAGTTGCACTTCGGAATGGTTAGGGAGGTGTGCTGCTGCAGACTTCCTGCGGCACTTGCCAACTCGCCCCCGAACCCGTTGGCCCAGCAAGGCAGAAGCGAAAATGAGCCTCATTGCAGCGCTCCTTTTCACTTGCGTGTGCGTTTGCTCGCTCTGCCCTCCCCCGCCCCCAGTTGACTGCTTGGTGGCTTTCCAAAGGCAAGGGGCTCAGGACACGATCCAGGCACCGGATGTCCAACTCCGGCGGAGGCAGGTCTGGCTTGGCCACGCCTGGATGGGGAAGCGTTTGGGAGCCTGCTCCGTTCTCACGCGCTGCCTCGACTTCCCTGGCTGAAGGAAGTTGGCATTGCGATCTGCATAAATGCCTAGCTTCAGAGGTGACCACCTGGTGCCCTCCAGATGTGCTGGTCTCAACTCCCATCATCCCCAGCTGGCATGGGCATTGCAGTTCAACACATCTGGGGGGCCCCAGATGGCAAATGCAGCTGTACCTGCTGCTGGACAGGCCACTTCAGGGTGTGGGGCTGCCCAATTTTGGCCCGCTCTTACAAAGGAAGAGAGACTCCCTTGCGTTCCTCTTGTGGGTGCGGGTATTTCCCCCAGCAGGAGTGCCAGTTCAGGGTCCTGGAACAAGAGCAGCGTGGCTAATCAGCGCCAGTGGATCCTGCCTGTCTTGACCCGGGGAGGCACCCGAGGGCCCCAACATCCTGTGGCTGCCAGGCAGATTCCAAAGCCTCTCCTGGCCACGCTCCCTCGGGTCCCCAGGCTTCCTTGCTTGGCGCTGTTGAAGGCGCCGAGGCTGCCCTCTTGGCTGCCCTCTGACAGGGTGACAGGCTGTTCTTCCGCTGCAGGTGGCACTCAGGATCAACTCAAAGCTGTGGATGCACACGGATCCCGTCTCTCAAAAGGACCCAGCTGCCAAGGTAACGGTGGACCCGGCCCCTGCGCTCCGAGTGGGAGCTGCACACCCGCAGAGAGGCCGCCGTTCACGCCCTCCAGGCGCCTGGGGGCAGGTGTGCTGTTCCTCTGACCCCGGGCGGGTGGGGGGAGGTCCGTGGAGCTGCCTGATGGCCGAGGATTGCCGGGTGGTGGGGCTGCAGGCAGCTGGCCAAAATATCCCTTTTCATATTTACTGAGGAGTCGCGTAATAAGCCGCTGACTCAGGTGAGCAGCAGCCAGACCCTGGCTGCAGTTAACGTTGCCGGTGTTGCCACGGCAGCCCGGCTTCCAGATCCTTTTTTTCTGGAACTGCCTTGCTCGGAAGCGTACTCCCAACAGATACAACCAACAATTAAGCTCATTACTGGAATGAAAGTAATTGCTGTTGTCCTCCCTGCTCTTTAGCAAAGCATTCAAAACATGGTGGAGACCCTGAAAAACAGTACTGCAAACACGAGCGTAGTCATGAATGAGATCGGGGCTTCCCAGGCCCTCCCGCCGTCCTCCTTCCAGCGGTTCCTGAGGGCCAGGCAGATCCCCGGGGTGGTCCTGGCCGACCACAGCGCTGCTTTCCAGAACAGGTAATGGCTTGGCGGCCGCGGTACCTCTCTCGGCTGTGACGTCCCTGCAGGTGTGTTGGGGTGAAGCCCTTCGAACCCGGGGCAGGCAACCTGTGGGCCTCCAGATGCTCCACTCAGCCCGAGCCAGCAAGGTGCGCATGCACAGGAAGGTGCAGGTGGAAACCTGCGGAGGGCCACATGCTGTCTGCCCCACCTTCCAGCCACCCTCCAAGTGTCTGGGAGCTGTCTGGCGATTTCAGGGTTGCCCTGCCCCTTTGCTTCCCCCATTCATATTTTGAGGCATTCCAGTCAGAATTCTGGAGAGTTGCGGGGGTTTTTATGAATGATTGATGCCTTCCTGTCTTGCCTTGTATTGTCTTGGTGTGGTAGTGAGAGTGCCGGGCAGGGAGCCCAGGATAGCTGGATTCGGGCCCCGCTCCGCCATGTAGCCCGCGGGGCGACCCTGGGCCAGTCACACACTCGGCCTGACCTCCCTCCCAGGGGTGGTGTTGTGGGGATAAAGCAGTGGTGTGAGTTGCCCCGGGTTCCTCACAAGAGGGGAAAAGTAGGGCAGAAATGCCATGTATTAAGTGGAATCAGAATCAAAATTTCTAGTTCCTTTATACCGGAAACCATTTCCGTGGCCATCTAGTCCTTGCATGTTTGCAATCCATCCAAAGAACATTTTGGACAAATCAGAAATGACTGGGCAGTTACAGGTGGCCTATAAATACATGTATAAATAAATACGAATAAATGAAAACGTTTCAGGTTCCCAGTCCTGCTAGTCAGGGGAGCTCCAGAGGCCTTTCAGGCATCAGTCCAGGGCATCATCTGCAGAGGCCAAAGGATGCCTCTGAGCCGGAGCAGGCCTGCCCGGCCTCTGCTGTCTCCGCCAACCCCCCAGCCCAGGGGCGGGCTCCCATGAGCTGCTCGGGTTTGCCAGGCGGGCAGACCCCCAGCTCCACACGGGGGGCGGCTCCAGTGTAAAGCGGATGCCACTGGGCCCCGGCAGCCCATGCCATGCCCTGGTAGGGCCGGGGCAGCCCCTGCATGGCCCAGGTAGAAATCCCAGGTGAGGATTCGTTGGGAATTCTCTCTGCTCCTGGGAGTTGCCAGGCACGTGGCCCAGCCGGGGAGATGCGGCGCCGCCTCGCTTCCGAGCTCTGCCCGAAGGAGCCGGCGGGGCCCTCGCAGCCTTTTGCACGGGGCCCAGAGGGAGTGGCGGTGGGGGCACATGGGAGCAGCCATGCGCCGTGCGCTTGAGGAGGCGCGGCGTGATCGCTCTGACAGCGCTTCCCGCAGCCGGTCGGCAGCCAGAGGTTGGCGGGCGGCACTCGCGTGGCACGGGGGCGGCTGTTCTCCCGGGGCTCCTGGCACGCAAAATGGCCGGGGGCCGGGGGCCGGGCAGCAGCAGGCAGCGCCCTTTGCCCCAGCGCCGCCACCGCCGTGCGCGCTTTCCTCGCCGAGCCCGGAGCGCTCTCCTTGGGCTCGGGTCGGGCCGGAGTCGGGGCTGGGGCACAGGCCAGCTCCCTCGGGGGCAGGGAAGTGGGGCGGCGCTCGGCGGCAGCCTGCGGGCACCGTGCTCTCCTCCGAGCCCCAGCTCCACTTCTGCTCCCCGTCCAAGCAGCTTGCTCCACAGGCTGAGGCAGGAGGGAGTAAGCAGGCTCACCCCACCCCACCCCACCCCACCCACCAGGGCTGCCTGCCCCATGGAAAGGCTCCTTGGGACCCAGACCCGGCATTCTGGAAATGGCAACCCTCTCGCAGGCAAGCCGGGCTGGGGTGTGGCTGAGGGCCGAGCTCCCCTCCCGGTGGCTCCGGCCTCACGGCTTGAAAGCCGCCTGACGGTGCTGCTCTGCCCCACGCTTTGCATTCATGGGATGGCCTGGGGCAACCCCCCCCCCCCCCGACAACCTGCAGGAAGTGTGTGTGTGTGTGTGTGTGTGTATGTATTTAACACTTGTTAATACCGTTGGGGTAGTGCCACGGGCCTGCCTTACAGGGTTGTCGCCAAGGTGAGCTTGTGTGCCTCTCACACACTGCTGGCTGCACCGCCCCCCCCCCCCCGGAGGCCGATCCAGCTGCCAGGACACTGCTGTGCTGGGACTGCCCTGCGCCCGCAGAGGCCCCGCTCCGCACCCCGCCAGCTGTCAGGAGGGCTGCAGCACCCAGGCGCCGGGTGCGCCTTCCTGAAGGGGCCACGACAGGCCTCGGCCTCGGTGCCTCGTCCCACCGGGCTGGGGCTTTCGTTGTCCCCTTGCTCTGGTCTTCGGTGGCTACTGGATAATCTTCATTGCCTTGCTGATTTGGGGCGGTGGGAGCAGAGCAGGTCGGGCGCATCGCCCCCTTCGGGGCGGCAGAGGCTTCTGCGGGGTCAGATAAGCAGCGCCGTGCACAAAGGTCCCCAAGCGCCGTCCGTGCAGCCGCATGGTGCGCAGGCTATGCAGCGTGAGGGCTGGCGGCCCGCTCCCTCGCTCACCCCATAGCGGGCAGCTCGGCCTGCCTTGGCAACGATCGCCCAACTCGGGAGGCGCCCGCCTGGCCGGTCCCTGGCATCTCTCTGCCCCCCCGGCCCCCGGAGCGGCTCCAGCAAGGACGGCAGTGGGGGCCGCCTTCTTGGGCCCTGGCGCCCCCCCCCCCCGTGTCACCTGCGCAGGCCTGGCTGCATGCGAACCGTGGCTGGGCCCACCTCTGAGCAGCACGCGTTCGGGACCCGGGAGGTTCCCCCGAGGATCCTGCGTTCGGGACCCGGGAGGTTCCCCCGAGGATTTTTCCCTCCCCGCCACTGTCCATTAAGTGACTTGAGCTCATCAAGCAAGCGAAACCGCAGGAGGGCCAAGTTAATTGCAGGGCCTCATTAAATGCATGGAGGCGGCTGTGGGGGGAGCAGTTTCCAGGCCTGTGCCCAGCCCCCCAGGGGAGCCCTGCTGGCACCTGCTACAGATGCGACCGGCCCTTGCACACCGTGCTGCGCCTTCACCAGCCCCCCCCCCCCGTCCTCCTCTTCAGGTACTACCAGAGCATCTACGACACGCCGGAGAACATCCTTTTGAACTACCCCCCAGGGATGAGCCCGGAGGATGCCCTGAATTACGTGACGGACACAGCTAAGGTTGAGCACCCCGTGGGGGGAAGGGGAGGCGTCCGGGGCCCGGAGGATGCCTGCATGGTCCGGCATGCCTGGTTGGCCCTTGGAGGCGCCAGCGGCCGCCGCATCGCCGGCCAAAGGGTTGGCTGGGCAGCTCCCCTTGCCTGCAGCTGGCTGCCTCGGCTGACGTGGCGCCTCCTCCCCTCTCCTCGCAGTCCCTGGCAGAAGTGGCCTCCGTGGTTGCCCGTGCACTCTACCGGCTCGCAGGGGGAGATGTGAGCGCCGTGGATATTCAGGCGGACCCCATGACGGTATGAGCAGAAGGGACTCCGTGGCTGGCTGCCCGGACGGTGCGCTTGTGTCGCGCTCTTCCGCCTCCTTGTTGAATCACCAAACTTCTGGAACAGCTTCCCGTCCTCCTCTTTGAACACCAGGGTCCTCTCCCCTCACCCCAGCTGAAGCCAGTTGGACCCCGGGTGTTGATTGTGGGGTTCCCTCGCCGCCCCTAATGCTGGGACCCCGTCTGTGGACGCTCTGAGCATCACCCCTGGTGGCACAGTGTAGGCAGAGAGGTGCCAGGGGGTGGGGAGGCTTGCGGCCCCCGCCCCACGGTCTGGGGTGCCTGCTCCCCCCACCCACCTGTGAACACTCACCTGGTGCCGGCTTGTTGCAGCCGTCAGCAGGTGCAGAAACTTCTTCTTCAGAGAGGCACTAGCTGGGATGCTTGGCGTGCTGAATTCAGCCCGGTGCGGATGCAGCAGCGAGCGGCTTGCCAGCATTAGTTCGATGGCCACAGAGCGGCTCGTGCCCCGTCCCCCTGACGGGCCTGGCCAGCCCGGCCGGCCGGCCGGCCGCACCTCCTGCCAGCGCCCCTGGGCCTGACCCGCTGTCCCCTCTCTTCCAGGTGGCCCGCATGCTCTACGGCTTCCTGGTCCGAGCGAACAACAGCTGGTTCCAGGCAATCGTCAAGGCGGAGCTCAAGCGATACCTGGGTAGGGGTGGGGCGCGCGTGGTGGGGGGAGGCTCCCTGGGCCCGACTGCCCCTCCCGGGACTCCCCTCTTCTGCTTCCCCCAGGAGACGAGCCCCTTCAGTACTACGTTGCCGTTTCCAGCCCGGTGAACGCCACCTACCTGGTGCAGCACGTCTTGGCCAACCTGACCGGCACTCGGCTGGCTGACAACACCACCAAGGAGCAGTGCCTGAACCTGGGCAAGGCCTCCAAGGGTGAAGTGAGTCGGCTCGCCCGGTCCGTTCCCCCAGCCTGGGGCATGCTGGGAGTTGCAGTCCAGCGCCCGCAGTGGGCCCCAAGCAGGCTGTGCCACCTGCCTCAAGGGGTGGCGGCTCCCCTGGCCTTCGCTGCCCCTTGAGCCCTTCAGCCAGAGGCCAGGAATCGAGCCTGGGGTTCTCTCCCTTCCCGGTGGGCCTCTGGGCCCCCCCTTCCCCATGGATGCCCCCGCGGAGAGCTGCAGCTTCGTTCAGTAGGAAGGGCGGGCGGCCGCTCTTGCCGCTTCCCATTTGCTTGCCTGCTCTCTTGGGCCCTTTCGGCCTCCGTAGCTGCTTGCCCCCAGGCTCCGGGGGAAAGGGCGGCATTTAGTGGCTCTTTCCCTTTGAAAGTCATCCGGGGCAGCGAGAGCCACTTTGACCTCCTTTGCACTTCAGGTCCATGACCGGCTTCCCTAAGTTGCTTTAACTTGCTGGAAGCCATATGATCAACCGCTTTTGATGCTTGCTTGAATGTCGTCTTTTTAGCCTTCTCAAAATGTGGTTTTCGCTCTTTTGTAGAGTTAATGTTACTGTTAGCTGCCTTGAGCTCTGTGGAAGAAAGGAGGTGCCTAAGATGTCTTACACTGGCCACTTCTAAGAGCTCCTGTGAACAGGGTTAAAATACTGGCTTCTGAGAGAAGCAAGTCCCATCATGCCGACCCCAGGCACCAGGCTCTGGAGAAAGGGCCCCACCAGCCCGGGAGCAAGAGCGCGGCTTCCAGTGGCTTGCGGGGCCAGGCGTGGCAGCTCAGAGCTCGTGCCTGGGTCCGGCCAACCCGCCCTTCTTCCTGCTCTCTCTGCAGTCCTACGATTACGCTTGGGTGCAGGGCTTCCCGTTCCCAAACGCCACGTCCCCCCGCAAGCCATTCTGCGTCATGTCGACGGTCCACCTCACCCAGGCGTCTTCCCCAGCCTTTGAGCTCAAGCAGTGGAACTCCACAGAGTACTCCACGTGGACCGAGAGCCGCTGGAAGGAGCTTCACGCCCGGATCTTCCTCGTAGCCAGCAAGCAGTTTGAGGTACGTGCCTCCCCCGTTGGTCTGTCTGAACTCAGAAGCTCTGGGGCCCCTCGGGGGCTGGACCCCGGCGATGCGCAGTGTGAGGAGACGCCACCGCTCCGGGGTGGTTTGGTGTCCCCGTGCACCCGCTAACTGGGCTGCCAAAGAGCTGGGCCGGCTTGCTGCCAGCCAGAGCTTGCAGCACTGAGCTAGGTGGGCGAGGGGCCCGGCTCCATGGAGGGCTGCTTCAGGAGACGTCTGGCACGGCAGCGAGAGCAGCACTCGTTCGCCTGCGGCTAATCCTGCATTTGGTGCTTGGCATTCCTTGCCAGAAGGTCTGGGCAGTCACGGCTGGAGAGGACCCGGCTGGGGCCTAGCTCAGCGGTGAGCTCTGGCAGTCTGCCGGGCTCAGCGGGGCACAGGAGGAGGCTACTTCTTCATGGGCTGAACTGATGGGCAAAGATGGGCAAAGATTTTGAAGTTTGAGCAGCTGTTGTGGGATGGAGCTGCGGCTAGGAGCAGGCCAGGAGCAAGCTGGTTTTCTGCCGCCTGTGTCAATCTGGCTGGCCGCTCAGTGCCCTCCCGGTGCTTGGGGTGCAGATCCCATAATCACTGATGTGCCCTGCTGGTTCGGGCTGGTGGAGCTGTAGCCCAAAGCATCTGGAAGACGGTGGATCACCCACACAACCAAGGCTAGAAATTATAGTAAACAAACGCACATAACACAAGACTTGTGCCCACTGAGGAGCGATTTCCTTTCGCGTAACAGTTTGTCCTTGGCCAGCTGTGGCGGGCGGCATGAGGCACTGGCTCCTCCGGTCCGCAGCCACATAACTCCCAGCCGTAAGGACAGGCGAATTCTCCCCTTGATTGGTGAAATCTGAAACTGTTGGGGAGATGAATTGTGCTTGTGAGGGCATCCGCTCACTTGCTTCCGGGAGCCACCCCCACCTCAAAGGTGCTTCTCCGCCACATGGCAGCCGTGCTCGGGGGCCTGGAGGCTCCCGTGGGGCCGCACCTTTCTCCTCTCCACCCTTTGCTTTGTTTTCTGGTCCTCTCTGCAGATCGTCATACTTATAGTGGGCCTTGTGATTCTGCTCGTTTCGTTCGTTGCCACCTACTTCATCAACGCCAAAGCAGATGTTCTTTTCACACCTCCTGGCGACTCCAGCTCTGTGACTTATTGAAATTGCATTCGGGAATCCTTGCACTCAAAATAGAGAGAGAGAGAGAGAGAGAGAGACAATGAACTTGAAATTGCTGGTAGAACAACACTGGAGCTCCTTCCCTGATGACCGTGGACTGTGGAACGAAGTGGAGCATCTCCTTCCCCCACAAATAAACCCTCGTCCTGGAAGAAGGTGATGGCGATGCAGGGAGTGATTTTTGGCGGGGGATGGGTGAGTCTGTCCAGGTCTCTTCCACCTTCACTTCGTAGAGCTGCCTGGAGAAGGGAAGCCGGCCTGCCGCACCCCCGTCTCTGTGAGGACCGGAGTCCCTTGCTGGGAGAAGTCTCAGCGGGGAGGGACTCCTTCCGTCTCTCGGCCCCCCCCCCCCCACATCACTGTAACCTACCAGAGGAGCTGAACAACTGCTCAAATCCTTCGATCTGTATGTATCAAGCTGAAAATAAAGACGGACGTGGCAACTGGGGAGGAAGCTGGAAAAGGGGAGCTGGGTGTACAATATCCTTTTTTTAAGAAATCATTTGGAATTTTTGTATATATAATATAAATAGCTTGGTTTAATTAAAAAAAGACCTGACTTACAGATTAAATCCTCTGATCCCGTTGGCCTTGGCATCCTCCTCCTCGGGCGAGCAAGGGCGCCCGGGCCCTGTGCTTGGGGAGGGGCCCTGGGGGTGAGGGTCGCTTGCTGGCGCTGTGCTGGGTATCTGTTGAAATGGAGGGCGGGTGCGTGGCTTCCGAGGTGGCCTTTGGATGCAGAAGACGGGTCAGCAGCCACAAGGAAGGCTGCGTGAAGTGGCGGGGAAGCGTCTGCGCACGGTCCCGTTTCCCGAATCTCTGCAGCAGCAGATGGGCACAAGCTTAACTCTCCACCCCAGCCGTCTGCACAAACACAAGAGGAGCCCTGCCGGATCGGGCCACCCCGTCCAGCGCTTGGTTCACCCAGTGACAGCCGGGCTGCCTGCAGCGCCCCACTGGCCGGATGGCCGCAAGACATCAAGCCGCTCAGCAGCCGGCGTGCGCAGGAGCACCCTGCCGATGCCGGGTGCCAGCAAGCCTGCGGGCTGCTCTCTGAAGTGCACGATGGGATCCTTTCTGGTGGCTTGAAAGAAAAACACGTCACCGGATTTCGGGGGCGGCCCAGTGTTGTTCTCTCTGCGTAAGATGGATGAGTCTTCGGTCTCTGCCCAGACGGGGAGGGTGCTGGCACATCCTGTCCAGCAGTTGCCCCTGTGCAGAAGGCCTGCTCTGCACTGCAGGCCTCAGGACCGCATGGCCCCACCACACACCCTTCCCGGAGGAGCTCTCGAAACGAGCAGGTCTGCAGCGGAGGAGCTGCCTCCCGAGGATCCGAGGCTCGTGGGCTCCCTGAAACACAGGCGGCAGCCCTTGACCCATCCAGCTCTACCCCACCCTACAGTTTCTGTCATCCGCAGCAAGCAGACCAGTGGGGAAAGCTGGTCCACATTGGCCGGCAGTGGCTGTGAAGGTCTTTGCTAGCCTTCTGTGGGGCAAAGATGCCAGGACCGGGCCTCTGTCCAAAGCGGGCGCTGCCCATATTTCCCCCTCAGAGCACCCTGCGGTCCCCATGGATCGTCACCCTTGGGATTTCAAAGCAGGGCTGCCGTCAATTCCAGATAATTTGCAGGTGTCTTCCGTTCCCTATACTTGGCAGCAAAGTCAATACACAGTGAGCCGCAAGAGGTCTTTGGACTTCTGGGCAAGCCGTCTCACCTCCGCAAAGTCCGGATTCAACATAGAAATGTAATAATAATAATAATAATAATAATAATAATAATAATAATAATAATAATAGGTCGATTAAGGAATTAGAGATACTTAGATAAAGTGGGCAAGCAGCATGACAACATCCCACTAACACTCTGAACTCCGCTAAAACGGAATATTCGCATCCGCCTTTGCATGCCCAGCCCTTCTCTCCGAGGGCCACCCAAAAGGCAGCGCCTTCAGACCGGCCATTTCCCGGAGCGCGCCCCTGGACTTCCGCGCTCCGTGGCCAGGGGGCGCTGGGAGGGCATCTTCCATCCCGCAGAAGCATTTGGTCCCGTGTGCACCTCTGAGGCAGGGCAAGCTTTGCACGGCTGCAGGTGAGGCCACCCCACTTCCTGTTAGAGGAAATAATCGCAGGGCATTTCCTGGCACGTGGGAGACGCCGCGGGAGCAAGCACGGAAGAGTGCAGTTCCACCATTAGAACGGAGGAACCGGAGTCTTCCGCCTCCCTTTCAGACCTTGCTCCGTGAATCTGCCTAATCCCCCCTTCCTGCCACCAGTGACGGGGCCTGCCGCATCTCCCGAGAGCTAATTATATTAGGCAAAATAAATGCCTCCTTTCAGCCTCAATCTGCTGCCCATCCTGCTTGGGCGATCTCCTGGTTCACTTTCCAGGAGGCAGCAGAACTTGTCTCTGCTTGCAGAATCCATACATCTCAGTCAAGTTTCCCTCCAGTTAATCACTTCATTTCTCGACTAGAAAGCCCCAAATGCCCCAGCTTTTTCCTCTCACCCCATTATAAAATGGATTTCTAAATTCTTTCCAGCCCTTCAATTTCCTTTTCTTGATTGGGGCAACCAGAACCATATGCAGAATTCCCAGGGCACTATTCTAAATAGCTCATTGGACAGAAAGAGGCCACTTCTGGGGGCCAGGGGGTGTGATTTTATTTCCTTTCATGATTGCTTCCCCTTGGAACAGGAGATGCATCCTTTTATCACACTCCTCTCCCTTCCCCCAACCCTTGGATCTGATGGCTGGCAAAGCCGTGGGGCAGCTGCCACTGTTTTCTCCATCACTCCGCGGACGGCCAACAGGTCTCCCCGCGGATGGCTCAGTAAGTTCCTCCCGCCCCCGGCGTGCTGGCTGCCACAAGCACGATGGAAGGCGGATGGCCGCCAAGCTGGAAGAGGCCCAAATGGACCCTTTGCCCGGCCATTTCTGACTCGGCACAACTTCGCCTGACCATCTTCCGCATGGAGGAGGGAAGCCATGGGCGCTGGAAGCCTGCCTTGCCAATTCGTCTGGTGCTGCGACTCGTCCTTTCCTCCTCCATAATCAGAGGGCTGATAGGTGGAGGCAGAGCTTGGGGCCCCAGCTCTGACCCCACAGGGACTTGGGGAGCGGAGGGAAGGTGCCAGGGAGAGCTTTCTGGCAGACAAGGGGGCTGCTGGCAGCTCCAGCGCTTCTGCGGGGCTGGACCGAAAGGACTCGCTCTTGCCCGGGCAATGAGGAAACCAGCGGGTCTCCCGCCCGGCTGAGCAGGGTTGGGTGCCAGGCACTGTTCCTCGGAGGCCTGTCTGTGGCGCTGGGTGTGCTTTGCGGCAGCAAACAACATGAGAAGGGGCGCTCCCGAGCGCCAGCAGCTGTGCACAGTGGGCTCTGGGCCCTTCCCCAGATGCACCGCCTTATCTGCCAAGGCCTTGAAAGCAAGAGGTGGGCCTGAGAGCAGGCAAGACAGTTCTCCTGTCTGTCCCTGTGGACGCTCTCTTCTGAAGCGGGAGAGGCGAGCTCTCGCATTCCCAGCTCCTGAGCACCCCAAATGACCCTGTGCAAAAAAGAGCCTCCAGGAGCTCAGCTGGGGAACTTGCAGCCCCGTTCCCATCACTTTGCGGGAATTGGAGCATTCCTAATGCTAATGAGCAGCGGTGGATGCGTCCCCCTTCCTTGGGACCCGCTCGCCTGGCTTCTAGCTCTGCACTGCTGACAGTGAAAAGGTTAATGCTGACGCCCGTGTCCAGGTCGGCGTGTCAGAAGAGCCCTTCAGCACGAGTGTGTGTGTGTGGGGGGGGGTGGATCTGGGCCGGCACCCGGTCTTGCGCAGAGGCCGGCTGAATTCTTCTGGGAAGAGCAAGGTGGCCGCTGTACGAAACTGACCACGTGTGTTCTGAAAGGGCGACAGAATGTTCATTCTCTACTGTGCAATATTTCATTTCGAATGAAATGTACTGCTTTCCAAATGCATTATCTGCCATGATAGACACGCTTGTCTCCCAGGCATGTCCAGCACGACTCTTCACTGTCCAAAAACAGTGACTAGCCATGTTTGTGGAAAGCCGCTGGTCCTCCGCTCTGGGGCCGAGTGCCCTCTGGGGCCGCCCTCTCCCACCCAGGTGCTGTCATGGCACACCTGCTCAGAGCAGTCACAGGCATCCAGTGGCGGGAAGGCCAGTCAGACGAGATCGTGCAGGGGCACAGGAACAAAATGCTAACCTGGCAGAAGACCACTTCCCAAACTCTGATTTTAGTCCCTCAGCCAGAGTCATTATTGTTATAATTATTCATTACATGTCTATACCGCCCGTAGCCCACACTCTCTCGGCGGTTCACAACAGGATAGAAATCAAAGTACCTGCATAAAATAACATTTTAAAAATTAATTAAGACAGCATTAAAATACCCTAAAAAGACCTGGTAAGAAGAAAGAAAAAATGCTCCTGGATGACCAGGGAGGTCTCAGATGACCTGTCTTGACCTAGTGCTGTAAAGGTGGCGAAATTGGCCCCAGGCAGCAGGGAGGTTGTTCCAAAGATGGGGGCGGGGGGGGGAGCTCTCCTCCTTTCCCTGGAAGGAACTCTGGGAAACAGAAGGCTGGGTCCCTGCGCTGTGGCAGCCCTGCAGGTGTTTGGTTTGGGTGACATTTCCCAGCATTCCTGGCCATTGGCACGAGGCCTTGGGGCAGCTGGAATTGAAGCCCAAAAGTGCTGGAGGGCACCAGGTTGAGAAAGGACACCGCAGAGCTTAGGCATCATGACACCCACCCCCCTAGACTGGGGCAAGGAAAGAGGAACTGGACTCCAGCCACAGCAAGTTCTGAGCCTGGAGCCTGAGGTCAAAGGAGGGCACGGCCAGATGGCTGTCAAACATGTCGCCTCTCTAAATTTCAGCCTCTTTGGTGCTTGAACGAAGCCTGCTAGGTGAGCCTCCTCAGAGCCGAGTTCTGACCCACGGCTTTTAATCAGGGGCCGATGCCTGAGCTGCCGGCTGAGTGGTCCCATGGCCCTGCCTGGATTTGCCGGAGGCCCTAGCCACAGCGCAAGTTCTCATTGTGAAGATGACAGCAAGGCTATGCATTAATTTATTTAAACAAATGATAAACTCTTTTGAAGGTATTGTTAAATGGTTCTCAGCATAAAACAAACCCAAAAATTGCAAACCCCAAAACTTTAAGCAGTTAAAATTGAGAACCATTTATTTGAATGGCAGAGCATTGCTAATACACTGATAACATTCTATATACAGTGAATGCATTCAAAATGCATTATCTGGCACTAATTGCTTCAAAAACCTTCTAAGTTCCCCTCTTCTGGGCTTAGGTGAAAACACATGGCACCCGAACACACACACAAGCAGGCAATCCAATTCGGTCTACTTTCTGCAGAAAGCTGTTTGGCTTCCCGCCTTGCCATCTTGTATGTAACTCGTGTACCAATATTTGAGCTCAAGGGAGAAGTCCCTTCATCCAAGCTTGCTTTGCTTTGGTAATTAGCTATGGCAGCAAGCGGCATTATGCAAAACCAGGCAGAAAGTCAACCACGTTCTTTGCAAAGGGTCTGCTGCCTTGGAAGCTCCTGCTGCCTTTCGCCCGGGGAC